TTCTTCTTCTTCTTCTTCTTCTTCTTCTTCTTCTTCTTCTTCTTCTTTTCAATATGGTGCTGAGATCCAAGCTCAGGTCCTCATGTTCGCACCTCAAGCATTTATTTACTGAGCCACCTCTCAGCCTCTTCACCATTTCTCATGCTCTCCCTGTGTTTTTACCTCCAGCCCTCCAGTCTGCTGTTGCGTCTACAATGCGAATTTCCATTTCTGAGTTCACAGTCTCCCTCTCCTGCTCTTGATCCTCCTCTTTCCCCAGCACTGAGGCTACCAGACACTTCAAACTGTGTGCTCTATTTCTTTTTCTGGATGTCCTGCAAGTGAATTAGACTTAAATGGCCAGGAATGGCCATGAAGATACGAAAAGAGTCTGAAAGGAACCTACCCTAAAGGAAGGATAGGGAACCGCAAGAGCCCTTCAGAAATGCCCTTTAGTGCATCCTGTTATGAGCAATGGCAGGATACCAGCAGGCTGTGGTGGCCCTGGAGGCACTGTAGAGCATGATGGTTGTCTACCTAATGGCATGGGCAGCCACTGGGGAAACTGTTGAAAGGAATGTTCTGAAGCTGAAAGCCTAGCTACCCACGTCACTCGGTATCAAATGAGAAATAATCTAAGCAGTTCATCTTCAGCATGGGCCTAGTTTCCAGCTTCCTTGTACACTGGACACGAGTGCCTGATTCCAGCTCCTGTACCTGCTCACATGGACTGTTAGAAAGGAAAGTTTGCAACATCCTCCTCTAAAACCATACAGACTTTCTATGTCCACCCCAGCATGGAGTGGACGTGGAGACACGTATTTATTTATAATAGCTTTAGGACTTAGCTATGGTTGCTTCCATTTAGCGCTTACAACCTATATTAACTCATTCATATTAACCTCTGTTTTGCCACATCGTTCTTTACCGTTCCCCAGTTTCATGCATCCGACTTGCTCGGTGTCTCCTAGGCAAATCTTTCCACTCCTCTTTCTTTCCCAGACTTCCCATCTCTCCAGAAGTCCTGCCAATTCTCTCCTGCCTTTGCTATTGGCCACTCAGCTCTTTATTCAGCCAATTAGAAGGTGACGGAGAACAATGTTTATGAAACATTGGGACAGGTGATGCCTAATAATACCAAATGGTCTGTACTCAGCTCTCCTTGGGCACAGAAGTCAGCATCTGAATATACAAAGACAACCTTTACATGGTGCACAAAACACACAACATCTCTCTCTCTCTCTCTCTCTCTCTCTCTCTCTCTGGATCCACCATCTTGCTCCAACTCATCTGCCAACTTAGACCAATCTGCAACTGCAGCCCTGATTGCTTTACACCTTCCCTCAGAAACCCCCAGGGATCACCTGCCCCTGTCCAGAGTAAGCTCAGACCCCTCCACTTTCTGGCATGCTCCCTCGCAAGTCCCTTTGGTTTAGTCCAAATAGCCCCTGAGGTCTATTTGGAGTCTGCTGCTTAAAAACCCCAGTCTTTCTAACACATGAAGAATCAAGAGTTTTCAATTCAGCCAGAAAAACATTCCCCAAAACTTTGGCTCTCTAATCTCAGACAAAAGGTTGAATCAACACTATGAATTTCTAGCCATATTTCAAAACACCTGGCAAATGAAACTGAAATCTCACAACCTCACCACTCCCACCTTTTTCTTGCCATTGTGCCCAATGTCCTCCGATATACAAATGCTGTTCTGAAATCTACCTAGGGAAATACCTGGGATTTCTGAGGTTTTCAAAATTTCTTCCTCCATTTACAGAGGTAACAAGAAATTACCAAGAACAAACTGTTCTGTATACCCAAGAAAAACCTAGATGCCTGTAACTGCATTCAGAACATCTACACAAAGACGGCATTTCGATGGGTGACGATACAGATCCGACCCATTAATAACTGATTACTGTCTCACAACTTACTAAAATCTGTAACAGAGAAGGGGTCCTCCTGCTTACCAATGGTGTGGCAAAAGAAAAGCACATTGGGAAGATTTAAGAACACATTGTTCCTGCTGAGAGGTCCGGGAGACATACCTGTGGTTTCTCTATTCCCGAAAGAATGTCTTGCACCCGCTTTACTTCCAACTCGTACTCTGTATGGCAAAGACAAGAGACAGGAAAGACAAAACCGTTAGAAGGCAGTAAGGCTGTCAGTCTCCTCCCCCGATGTCTTCATCCAGGAGACCATCAGGCCAGTCGGTCGCCTGGCACAACACATTACTGGTGCCACCATGCCAGTTATCATGCCAGAGTACCGCTGTAAGTACTAGGTCAGGAACACTCAGTCTTACTTCATTCAACACACAATAGGGTCATAAGAAGGGCAAGCAGGAGACCCTAGCTATCGAGGTATACAGAATACCTAAGAGAAGACGAACTTGAGCGACAATGGCTTGCGAGTTCAAACTTTTCTTCAATCAGTCTGTCTGTCTGTATGTAGGTTATGTATGTATGTATGTATGTATGTACAGGTATATCCATGTATTCATTTACAGTTTTGGTTTTACATTTGAACTGCAGTGTTAAGCAGGAAGACTTGCACAGCTGAGATGGAGCCAGAAGGGACATTAGACTTCCGCCTAAGTAGCGCACATAAGGAAGGCAGGCGGATGCCCTGCTACAGTGGTGCTGGTGAGAACACGACTAGGTTGGGGAGACACAGGGACTACAAATCTAGATGTGATACACGGTGGTGAAGAATGGTCGGGATAATTCTAGTTTTCATCTGATGGATGAATGGCGACTTTAATAAATGAGGAAAGGGATATATTCACAGTGTGGTAGGACCTGCACGTCAGAACTACAAGGAGAAAAACACTTTGTCATAGAGATGAGGAGGATATATAGCCAAATAAAAATAAATAAACAGAATCCATTCTGCTCCTCTTGGAGGCAACCATGGAACCTGATGCTGAGATGTGGTGGATTCTATACCTGTTTGTCCTGATTTATAAGCCCAATGCTAGAGAGATAGAATTCCCAGGGCACAAGTCTCCAAGTTATTTATGGGTTAGTGAGAAGGGTGGCAGAAAATCAAAACAGTATTTGTGACACCAGAGAATAAAGCTGTCCTCAGGGCAAGAGCAAGCTGAGCCCCACGGACAGATATGTAGAGACAGAACCGGAGCCATGGTGGCTTAGCAAGCTCTGCATTCCACAGAGCTAGATTCTGCTCACTGTGCAGGTCTAACCTCAGTCAGCTGCTCAAGGACTGTCTCTCTAGAGCCCAACTCTTGTCACTCAAATCCCACTGCTTTCTTATCTACCACCAAGATCTGGACACAATTACCCTGCTGATTTTCATCCATGTGCTTGTTTGGTCTTTCCTACTAAACTGTGTCTGGAAGGCACCGATGCTACAGGCCTAGAGTACGTGATTTATTTCCTACAAAGGACAAACAGAACACAGGTAGCCAGGCATGGTGCTGCACACCCGTAATGTCAACGGGGAGGAGGTGGAGAGGTGAGGAGCTGCAGTTTCAGGCTGGCCTTGACTGCACAGCAAGAAGAAAATGTGCTCCTGACTGAGAACACACACAGCCGAATGAAATAAAGAAGGTAATGTCAGATATGAGAGAGGATGAGGGAAGGAGGGGGAGAGGAAGGAGGGGCTAGAGGGACACTGAAAAAAAAAAAAAAAACCACAACCCAATCTGAAATGCTGGAAATGCAAACACAGCAGTCAAAGTCTCCATGCTAAGTCTCAGTAACAGAATGGATCAAGGAGAGGGCAGAATATCTGAGCATGAAGACAAGGTGGAGGGACGAGACAATCAAGGGCACAGGAGGAAAAGTCAGAAGGCACCAGTGGAACCTCAACACTCTGGAAAGACCGAGTCTACCAATAAAAGATACAAGACAAAAAGAAATGCAAGCATGCAAACATTTTCATGCAATCATAGCAGAGACACTCCTTTTGTTGTTGAGGGTTCAAGTCTCACCTCCCCAAAAGCATTTCCCTTCCCAACAACATTTTTAGCAAAGGGAAGGTTAAAATAAAAACATACAGCAAAGGGAATTTTTTAAAGAGAGAGAGAGAAAGAACATCCCACAAACAGAAGGAGTATGTGTTATGTGAAATTTAAACTTTCCATAAATGATGGTTTTCATGTTTGCTCCAAGAAAACGTGAGTTCAGACTGTTTGAATAACTGTATGCGCTAAACTAATTTAAACATCCCCCCATCTACACAGAATTTACTCCTCCTTCTCAGAACAGACTCAGGCCCCGCTCAGCTGCAGCTGTGTTTATATTGTCTCCGCACCTTCATTCTGGTGGAACAGCATCAGCATTGGTGCCCTCTGCACTCTGCCCCAGTTCCCAGACCAGCTCATTTGCAGATGCCCCTCTGGACACCAGAGTCCTCCTGATTTTCCAAAGATCTGGTACAGCTGACCTTTAAACAGGCTGTGCCCACTGAAAATATAGGGTCTAATGATGTCCATTTTGGGGCTCATGATGTAAGAACTAGATGAACAGATATTTTTGGGTGAGAAGAAATAGGCATCAATAGTATGGGTAAACTACAGGCCCACTCTAGGTCTGCTAATTCCTGTGACAGTGATTATAGGCAAAAGAAGGAAATACTATAATGCTCACAGAAACCTTTCTCTGTATAAAATGAAACTAGCCATCAGCAACCTAAAAGATCTTATTTATTAGAGAGGGAGGAAAAAGGAGTCAAGCGCATGACAAATTTAATTAGCTAAGGACTGTCATTTAGGGGTTGGGATTTCTAGATAACGGTGTAAGGTGTAAATACTAAAGCTAAAGCTACAGCCCTCCTTAGTGGCTGCAGGCAGTGCTGCTAGTGTGAACCGCCCAAGCATGTGGGCTGGAGTTCGAATCCTAGCACCTGCATAAAAGACAGCATTGCATCGTGCACATTATTATCGTGCCCGATAATAATGTGATGGGCGGAAACAGGAGTATCACTGGGGCTTGCAGGCTGCCAGCTGAGGGCCCCAAAATGGAAGCTCTTATTTTACCAGAGACCATACCTCAAAGGAACAAAACAGAATGGCAGAAAAGGGCACCCAGTTCCTTCATCTGGCCTTTCTGCATGTGCACACAAATGTGTATGTAACACACACACACACACACACACACACACACACACCAAAACAAAACAAAACAAAACAAAACAAAACAAAACAAAACAACAGCCAAGTCAGATACTGAGGAATACGTTACCATAATATAAGGAGAGCACAGTTAAGCCCTACAGAGCACATATTTTTTCTCATAAACCTTGAGGTGGTTGAGCAGAGAGCCCAGTAAGTAATGTGCTTGCCATAGGACCCGAGTCTGAGTTCCCAGCCACCGTGCAGAAGCAGTGCAGAAGGGAACAGCAGCCTGTGCTTGTAATCCCAGGGCTAGGGAGGTGGGGACTGGAAGATCCCTTGGGTTTACTAGTCAGCTAGTCTGGCTGGCTAAGTTGGTGGCCCTAGGCTCAGTGAGATACCCTTTCTCAGAAATATAAGGTGAGTGGTTGAGGAAGACACCCAACGGCAGCCTCTGGCCTTTACCCATGCACCTGCATACACACATGGACACACTTGGACATGTGCGGGCACACATGCATGGAAGAAATACTGACATCAAACATTTTGATACAAAAATGCAAGACAAAAGTCTTTCTAAGTATTTAGTGGAGAAAGTGATCACGTTCTCTGAAATTCTGAAAGAAGGATGAGTACTAGCCCATCAGCAACAAAGAAGGAAGAACACCAGCCAGCTGTGCTGCAGGATGTGAGAAGCTGTTTTCTCGTCTAGAAAATATTTCCTAGGGTGGACAGGGTTCCAAAGAGATCCTGGAACCTGAGAGCAGAAAGGAAGAAGACATGAATTCCTCTTGCAGGTGGGGTGACCAGCTGGGCAGGAGGGCTAGCCATGGAATGTAGATGGGACAAGAGGGCCCAGTTTCCTCTGAGCTTCAAGTTGTTATTCCTGGAATTCAGGAGAAAGAAACAGTTTCTCTCCTGGAGACAGTTTTGAGACAAAGTCCTTCCAGAGACTCACATTAATCTACCCTCAAGCAAACGGGCCCCTTTCTGGAAAGGTTGTGGCATTCTGAGGAATCAGGGCAGCGGTGTGCAGGGCGAGGTTTGGGTCTTCAATGAGAAGCTAGGGACGAGGAAGGAAGCAGTCTTTTGGACTCCCACATACACTCAATACATGCCACTCAAGTTGCCAAGTAAATTAGATCCTGCCTAAATATTAGAAGATTCTATTTGCATTTCTGTATAATGCTCTGAGAAATAAACCCATGTTTTCCTCTCAGCGTGCCCTATATACTCATGGAACCACATGGAAGCAACTAGTGTTTTTAAGCACACCAGATTAAGGAGACAAAAAACCTCACAAAACTGGATAATGTGTCATGTAAATTGTGCGCCTGGTGAGCTAACTTTGGTACCAGCCCTTGTTTCTACTTTACTGTGCATGGCTGAATGCTTTACTAGTAAGCTGAGCCCGCCCCGGCCAGATACAGCTCTGTCACTTAGGGGAAGGCTAAACTCCATGATTATCAGCCAGGGCTGTTGCCCTTGCTTGGCTGTATGACAGGAAGGGTGTAGCTTCAATGCAGGACAGAACTTACAAAGGTAACTAGAGTCCATGCAGCACTTTTGAGAGTGGCGTCCGGAAACTTTTCCTCACATGCTTTCTCATTAACAGTGGGCGGGACAAAGTGAAAAGTTCTCAACTGGCTTCGTTGGCACTTTTGCAAGCTTGAGGATGGATGGGCAGAATCCACAGAGGATGGTTCTTTAATAAAACAATCCAAGGGAGGTTTCCAATAACTACATTATTTACACAGCAAACTTTGAGCTGTTTTACAGCAGCATTTCCTTAATTATGGCTCAAAGAACTAATTTCCTTGGGGTCAGGCCAGACATCCAGTCCACTGTTGGAATACACCCTGAGGCTCAGCTGCTGAGGTGGGAATCTCAGAGCAAGCAAGGACCTCCTGAAGCAGCAGAATCTGGCACAATGAACGTTATCACACCCTACCAGACCAGCTACCCCACGCAAGACATCTCCCAGCACAACATGTGCAAAGTGCCCCAGACACCAGCAGGGGCCATGAGTG